AACCCAACCTTTGCTACGACTCTGCTCTATGTCCCAACCCCAACGCATGTCGTAATGCATTTCAACTATCCTCCCAACAAACGTGTATTCATTGCTTGCTTACCTTGTTTGGTCTTGTTATACTCCCGTACTATCTCATTATTATCAGCATTAGGATGGTCGTTCTTGTATTGATCCTTGAAGTTGGCGAATTCAAGTAGGTCCATATCGTCAGTGTTATGAGAAGAACGAAAAGAACGTGTAGCTGCGCGTTTATATCTTGCTGCGCTCCATGGGCATATCACGTTGTGGAACAATTGCATGCATCAAATCAGATTGCCCGATTGTTGCCCCTGTGATTGACCTCTGTTATTGCATATTTTTGGAAAGTGGCAACTTACGTAGCCGCAGTTTGAATAGCGTCATGATCATGTAGCTGGGAAAGCCATACGAAAATACTATTTGTTGTCATTTTAAAACTTCAAATATTTAATTGCGAAAAAAAAATGAAATAGTCAGAGACATTTACGATAATTGATACACTTAATCTGCCGACGTAGTCTTTATTACTCTTTACAAGCAACAAGTCATAAAGTACATATTCACTAGAGCGATTGCATGGGAGGAAATACTCGGACCCAAAGCCATTGATGAGTATCCCTATACTTTGGTCGCTCTAATGAAATCAATTCTATACATTATTATAAATACTATTAATGTCTACATTTTCCTTCTTCTTTTCTTTATCTACCCAACTTTTAAGCGCTTTGATCGTTTTTCTCGAGAACTTTTGTTGGTGAAGGCCTTTTAGAATAAAAGCAATGATGCTTTTTCTTTCGCGCGATTTGTGGCATTTTATAACCACTTTGTTAAATAAAACCGAGTCCAGCTTAGGTCTTTTGATAGAGATTTTAAAACCTTTCCACAAGTATTCGACATTTAGCAAATATTTTTGCTCACAGAGCAGTTGTCTGGTTCGGGATTTTAATTTGATTGGGTAAATTGTTGCTTTGAGCATTTGAGTTATAATATAGGGTTAGCAAAGGACCGAAGACAAGTCCGATCAACAACCCAAAAATGAATTTGATAGTGAAATCAAACATTTCTTGAATAATTTTTTTACTTTTTTTATGGGTTAAATTATTGGCAAATTTGATGTTGGAAAGATTTTGCGATTTAATTTTTCTAAGACGAAACCGAGTGCGGGTCGTATTATTTATAATAAGCTTGTCAGGTGCCGATCAGAGTTCTTACTGATTATAAATACGTTACAGTTACGGATTCTGAAACAGTCGATGCGTCGATCAAACAGTCTTTATACAAAATGAAAATAAACGCACCATTGGTCGCCTAAAGTTCGGATCGACCGCCATTCTAATAAATTTATTCGTGACTCATTTATCATTATCTCTAATGCGGTAATTATAATGATTTGCTGACATGAATTGTACCAGATTTCATATCTATCGTCATTCTTACTCGAACCGTATATAAAAAATCATGGAAAATTATCGATAATTATTAACAATAATAAAAAAAGCAGATATTTGCTTATGCGTTTATCTTACGTTTCTTTCTTGGTTCATCATAAGTTGGGTTTAATGTTTGTTTATGGGTTCTTATTTTCCGTTCTTCTTGATAAATTTCATAAGTGATTTTTTCTTGATCTAGGTATTCCTGGAGAGTTTGGGCATCATTGATTTTAAAAATGTATGGTGCAATTTTTTCACCTTGGGCTTTTTTTAGAATGCTTCTAATAGTGCTGTAATTCTTTGGTTCCATGGTGGATTTAATGTAAATTAGTTTCATATTTATATATTTTATATAGAGGTAGTCCTATATTAATCACATTATGGTTTATATTCATCACATTCTGGTATGATAAAGTGAACATTAAAATTAACAAATCCAAGTTATGAATGAGCACCATTATTACTTTTCAAAATGTCATTAGTATTAGTCAAATTAGTTAACTTTCAGCCACACCAGCCTCTTATTTCAGAATGTTCACTTTGTCTGGTTTTGTTGCAGTCTGCCCCATATCAAATATACTTCAGCTCATTCCTCCAACAGCTCTAAAAATTTAGTCGACGTCGTATGTGTAAAGAGAAGGAAGTACTTGTTAGTAAATGTTGCAAACAGCATATCAAGGTTGTCAAATAGATACACAATGGTATGATAAATTACAACCCATATTACTATGTCTACTCTACCCTATGTACAAACTTCTTTGCTTAGACAAAGTAATTTCTCCATCAGCAAACGTTATTCTTGTGATTTTAGTCTATATGGCAGTACAATAATATGAATGAAGACCTTGTTTTCATTAAGTTGGGGCAATTCGCGAGTTTCGTTTTTCATTTAAAGATATTTACAATAATTGATACACGTATTTATCATATTGCTTTAAAAAACAAAGTATATCAAAGATTCGCTAGAAGTAATTGAATACTCGGACCCAAAGCCATTGATATTTTGGTCGCTCTAGTAAAATCCATGCTATACATTATAATTAATGTTATCATCATCTTCCTTTTTCTTCATCAGCTCATTCCTTTAGGTTTCGACAGTCGTTTTCCATGGATGGTTTTTCTTCAGTAAAAGTTCTTTGGTCTAGAGGCAACAACGTCTTTTTTCCTCGCGTAAGTCGCGGATTTGAGTGGCCACTCGTTAAATAAGAAATCAGATTTCAGCTCAGAGAATGATGGTTTAAAATCTTTCCACAAATTTTCATTGTTGAACGAATAAGTTCGATCAACAACGCAAAAGAATTGAATAGTGAAAGCAAGCATTTTTGAATTGCTTTTTTTATAGGATAAATTTTTTCGATAGTGATGCTGGAATGATCTTATAATTTGAGTTTTCTAAGTTGAAATATAAGTGCAGGTCGTGTTATTTTTATAATACGCTCATCGGGATTTACCTGCCATGTCGCACAACCTGCCAGCTCAATATCAAATATTATCGATTTTATAAGACTTTATTGCTTAACTAATATCAAATATTATCCCTTCATTGGACACTCCTCAATATTATGAACTGTACGACGTGTCTAGTTGTAAATCCCTGATAATCTTACGGTTACAGATTTCAAACAGTTTTTGATACAAAATGAACAAAGACATCATAGTCTCCTAAAGTTTAGATCGACCGCCCTTTTAATAAATTTATTCTCCTGATTCACTTTTATCACTTTACCCAATGTTTCTAATGCGATAATGGTTTGCTGGTCATGAATTGTGTTAGATTTGTAGTACGTGGGGCAAAACGGAACAATTTATTGTCATTCTTTATAATAAAGAATTACGGAAGTTTGTCCCGATTATTTCACAACAATAAAAAGGCAGCTTTTGCTTTATATTTCTTCAATTTTCCGTTTCTTTCTTGGTTCTTCATAACTTTGGGTTAATTCTCTTTTATTAGGTATAATTTTTCGTTCCTCTTATTATTATAAGTAATTTTTTTTTATCTAGATATTCCTCAAGAATTTTGGTATCATTGATTTAAAAACATAAAAGGGGCAATTTTTTCTCCTTGATATTGAGCTTTTTTTAAAATGCTTCTAAAAGTACCGTAATTCTATAGACAACTGTAATTTACATGAGTTACAACTGTGTTAATCAAAATGTTATCAGCTAAATTAGTTAACTTTTAGCCACATCAGCCTCTCATTTATGTCACATAATAGAATGTTCACTTTGCTGCAGCATGCCCCGCATACAGTATACTATATATTTGAACAAGTTCATACATTCATACATTGAATAAATTTAGTGAGGAAATCTGTACGCAAAGGTTATAATTACTCTGGGTAGTTGTCATTATTGAATAAAAGCCCCTCGCGATAGTAGTTGTCATTATCTATATTATTCTCTTCCTCTGCATGTAATGTAGATAAAACAGCTCAAACTGGGCTTTAGCGAGCACCTTGTTGTAAATAAAAGTCCTTCGCGATAGTACCTCCGCCACCTTTTGTACAGACGATACAGCAATAAGCTGCTTGTTTAGTTCGTATTGCATGAAAAAAACCCCGCCCGTTTGAGACAAAGTCAAGTAATTGAGGATTACATGTACTGGTCAAAGGACAAATATCACCCATTAAAACAGCCATCCCACCACATGTACAAAGCCAACTGAATGGTTATGTTGTACCTCAGTTCGGGACCATCTCAGTCTAGAACTCAGTTGTCTCAGTCCAGAACCGAGACAAGTCCCGAACAGTTACATGAACAATGTGGAGAAGGGGCCAGCTCAGGAGTGACACTCATAAGGAGCTTTGGATGATTGTGTCAAATATTTTGAGAAATCAGAGCTCATTATTATTATCAAGGGAGATGTGATCATGGTGGTAGGAACAGCACCATTACCATGAGATTACATCTAAAATCCACTGGACCAAAATAAAAAATACTACCTGAAGTGACAATAATTATGATATATGAAGTAATGTTGTTATCATATACTGTTTAACTCACTATGTGATGATAGCATGTCTTATTATTATAGTAGCAATAGTCTCTTTTTTTAAATATGGACGTTGTATCAAGACCACTAAATAAGTTGTTAACTTGGGTAAAAATAAGACAGAGACCTATAATACGTTTGATGGTTTGAACCCTTCATGTGTGCTATGTTCATTTGTTGTCTCATGAATATTAATTAATATATGAGGAGCATCTCCAATATCTCAAATAACACTAAGCATGTATATTCTTCAATGAAAGTACAACAGATGGAAGCATGCTCGTATTACAAAGAAATAAAGAGACTGTTTACTATATTACATGCCTCTAAGTAAACCTATTGATCGGAAGTCTAACGCCAATGAATAGATCGTCGTTACGAATCAAAATAACGCAAGCATTCTAGTGTACATTAAAGATTAGCATATTATACGACATCACTATTAAAACTCAAGAGATTGTTCATTTTCTTTTTCCTCTTCGTTTTTTTCGTTGATTTTTCGCTGGCATCAGGTTCATCTTTGCTCGCTCGTTCGCGCTTAAGGCCATGAATTACTTCATTAAGATCCTTTATGGAAGTATCCGATTTAGCCTTGGAGGAAGCTTTCGGCTTATTATTGTTTGCACTCGTTTTCTTTCCATCAGGCTTACGAAATATAATTTTTCCGCCTTGCGAATCATGATCTTCGTTCTGACTGGATTCGTCATCTATTATTGAAATCTTAGTACAACACATTCCGTAATAATAGCATATAACATTTAAATTCTCTACCTGTTAATTTGGATTTCTTCCGAGTACCTACGAATTCTTGCACTTCTTCTTCTGTCATGTGCTTCCTTTCGTTAAGTACAACTATTTGTGGTTTCTCGTCTCCACTTAACTTAAGAATTTCATCGTCATCTTCGTTATCAATTAGGTCTTCGCTTGTAGTTGGTCGCCTGTCTGACGTTTCTTCTCTGACATCATCATCGACTAATCCTTGAAGGAAAGTGGGTACCTTATCGAGAGCAGGTATGAAGTTGTCAATGAATAGTCGCATTATTGCCACAGCCGGTATAAAGATACAAACCTGCTTTACATAAGTAAGTCCTCTCGAAAATTGATGCGGGGTTAATTTTGGAGGCATTTCTGATTAATATTAATATTTATTTAATTCTGCTTTTTGTAATATTTAGGTGTTTGGGAAGTCATTCAGATCATCCGTGGGAAATCCGCCGGCTACTTTTATGATAAAGAACTTTGACAGACGGGGTGCATGGCAGATTGTCTTTGTCTTCTGCAGAAGCCGAAGAAATCTTTACACCACGGTGCTAGTCGCTTAGTCAAGATAATATAGACCACTCAAGCCCATTTGATTAGCGCTAGCAAGTTTCTGCTTGATATATCTCTATTATCAAACGGATGGTTAAACGTGGGATATCAAAGAGTACGCTGGTTTTCACTGGATTGCCAACTCAAAAAAGAAAGATTTGAATCACAGTGGGGCTCGTACAGACAGACAAGCAGTGAGAGCCTTCAATACTTTAGGAGAAATTATATATCAATACTTCAACTCGACCGTTATTAGTTCTACAGTGCTCAGCGATGGGATGAAGTGGCACAGTATGTCAATAAAAAAAAAATCATGCTACGTCATTGAATTCTGCATGCCTAAATACTACTTTGCATTCTGCTGCTCGCAATGAGTTTAGTTTCTGTCACTTACAATCAATTGGCTGTCTGTCCGAACAAGTTACCAACCACATAGGAAACATGGGCGAGAACTCTCAATATACTCACTCCTGGTAATTTGCGAGTTAAACCACTATAGGCATACATCGTCCGAATTGTTCTAACAAGTTAATCTAATTTCGTACTGATCATAACCAGGTCTTACCCGTACGATCAAAACCAACAGTACTTAGCTCCCCCAGGAACTACACCCGCAACGACGCAAACGGATTACTCAACTTTTTATTCCTCACAAGCACCTTCTACTGTACCATATTCACAGTATCCAGCATACTATACTTACCCATCACAACCTCCCGCCCCAGGTGCTTCCACAACCACATCTCCAGTTGCCGCATTTCCACCCGGAACAAATCCAGTTGGGAGTCAGACAAACGCTGCTTTTCAGCCTAGCCCTCCAGGGTTTCCTTCGAATGGTTCCTGGTATTCTACATCGGCCTCTCAGCCAACTCAAAGTTATTACCCAACCAATTATTCTGCCCCTTATGACCCAAACAATTATTATGATTCTTCGTCTTATTCAGCTTATTCCCAGCCTAATGCCCACACAGCTACGTACGCGAGTGTTTTAGCCCAACCCACGACTCCACCGACGCCTACACCTGCCTCAAGGCCTCTCGCTAATTCTGCGACTCTTACCGCACAATCGTGAGTATCCTTGGGACTAATTACAGCTCATAAGCCTGATCTTATAATGGTTAATAATTAGATTTACATATTTGTCCGTTGAAGCAAATCTTCCGCTTTCACAGGGATGTCAGCGCAAAACACAATGGGAGGGGTTTTTTCTGCCAATGTGATGAAAAATGGCTCGGACAATGTCGTCCAGGCAACTACATCCGGGTTTGCGAATCTCAATGTTGGTACAACACCGGAAACGGCTAGCAGTTCAAGTACAGTCGATATCCAAATTCTCGCAGTAACACTTTTTGATAGTGACTATGGCTAACTTGTAACTTTTTTTAGAACCCGCGTATGCTCCCATAAAAATAGGGGTTTCTAACAAAAAGACTCCTCAGAAGTTCTCTCTATCTTTTCGCAATCATTCCGTTCAACAGACAGCTTTAGATGAACAACAACAGGTCACAACGCTCGATCTTCAGCAGAAACAACCAAGAAAGCAGCAACAACTACTACTACAGCAACAAGAACAACAAGAACAACAATCGCAACCACAGCAATCACAACAACAACAACAGCAAATCCAACCATCTCGGTATGTGTACATCCTTACTGGACGTGTTGTATAATAATTATTACTAAGTTTTCCCCTCAATTAGAGATCTCAAAAACCAACAGAGTACAGCACCGGATCGGTGGCCGGACCCTTTGAAGTGAGTATTCTACAGGTTCTAAATTTGATTCCGATGGTTAAGTGTCTAACATTTCATCTATCAGAGAGTATGTTGAACGCAGTTTTGCAGTGGCGCCTAACAATATGCATGCTGTTGAAGATGAATTGAGACAAATTATTGCCACAAAAGTAGCTAATAATGAGCTCTGGATGACAGATTGGGTAAAGATGCCTCTACCTAGGTATTTAGCTCGACATTATTCACTCCGGTTTTTTGATGTTCAATAACTTCACATTTACCCTAATTAATTGATTTTCATTCAGTTCATGCTTTGACAAAGAATCAAAGCGAAAGAAGTATGTCTCCCTTCTGTTTTGGTTATGTTTCATATTGTTTTGACTAGTATATCGCCTGTCTAATATAGTCTAAGGATGCCTGTTGCTTCTGTCGATCGGATATCAATGGGCAGTGATAGTGTAGATGAACAAGACAAAAGAGAAAAACGGCTCAGGAGATTTCAAGCTGATGTTAATCTGCGCAATCAATCACCCGCAACGGTAGACACCAGGTTTATTATCTCACCGATATTCCTTGAGCTTATCGTTTTTAATTTACTAATTTGTTCTCGTTGTTCTGTTGACAAACAGGAAGAATTCAATCCGGACCAGAATACGATTGTTGGGACTTGCCAAAATCTAGAAAAATCATATTTACGATTAACTTCGGTGTGTATTGGAATTTGTTGAAATTTTGTACCAAGCTTTTACTGACTTGATAATAACACTGAATAGGCACCGGACCCGTCAACCGTTAGGCCTTTACCCATTCTCATGAAGACGCTTGATTTTTTGAAGAAAAAATGGGTAGAAGAGCAGAATTATGCATATATATGCGATCAGTTTAAATCATTACGGCAAGACCTGACGGTAAGTGATTATCACCTCCTGTTTGCTCGATTCATGCGTTTCACAAACACCCTATGAAACAATACTTCCATTCGTAAAGGTTCAGCGAATCCAAACAGAATTTACCGTAAAGGTGTACGAAACACATGCTCGCATTGCATTGGAAAAGGTTGATATTCTTTATTTGCCACCGAAGGCTCAATAGTCGTGATGCATTGTAGTCTAACAAACATATGATTTTTACAGGGTGATCTCGGTGAGTATAATCAGTGCCAGACACAATTAAAAGAGCTTTATAAATTGAGCATTCCAGGACATGTCATGGAGTTTACGGCGTACCGGCTGCTATACTTCCTGCACACTAAAAATCGATCAGGTAACACCAAACACGATTAGTAATTTAATTTGCGCTTCTACAATTATGAATATTACTTACCAAACTTAATGACCATTGTTTAGATATAATATCATTGATTGCTGGATTAACACCAGCAATGAAAGAGGATTTGTCGATCAAGCACGCATTGGAAGTTAGGTCGGCGCTTGCAACGTCAAATTATCATAAATTTTTTCGCCTCTATTTGGAAGCACCATATATGGGCGGATATTTGATCGATGCATTCGTTGAGCGAGAGAGACTCGAAGCTTTGAGGGCATTAAGCAAAGCGTACGTTCTTGTTTTCTTATTTTCTCAATGTTTGTTGTAACGTACTGGATTGCAATGGACTTTTAATGTTTTCGTCAAACGTTTAATCGCTTCCTTTATAAAGTTTTCGGCCTTCACTAGAGCTGGCTTATATAAGTAAAGAACTAGCTTTTGCGGATGTCGAAGATTGCACCAAATTCCTTATAAAACACAAAATTGATTGTTTTATCGAAAATGGAGCACACCTTAATACAAAATCGGCAATTGAACCAGTAACGGAAAGCTTGAAGCGGTTTGTCAAGATAGACATTAAAGGACAGATATAACGGACTTTTGTGAATAAAATTAGAATGAATTCATATTTACAGAGGTTGTAGTATTTATCGATATATGTTCGGAATATAGAAAGAGCATCTGTAAATAACATTACACAAGGTACATCGGCTCACAGTCCAATTTATATTTAATCAAATAATGACATTCTCTTTTTAACGTTATCGTAAGAGTATTCCATGTCTATCTTGTCTATCTGCACTGGACAAAAGTCGATCAATTAGTAAAAAACTTTTTTTTTTTTCGAAAATTTCTGTTGCCATGTAATGATAATTGTTCCATAGAGTCGCAGTTAATTCACATGAGCATGCCAAACATTGTTTTGTGCTACTTACCCTTACTTCGAAGTGTGACGAATATCGGGTTCCTGCGAAAATGTGATACACTTTTTCTCAGAACCACATGATCCTCTCGATAAAATTGGCCTCTTTCTTTGGTATTGACGTCTCTCGCTCTTGTTGCAAAGAGTAGACGATGCCTAATAATTCCTCCTCGCTTTTTATATGCTTTGCACAAATACTTTGGACTTTCCAGATCGATCAATGATCATCATTATAAGTGTTACAGTATCGGGGTTAGTATTTTCAAAGTGTCATATATCTCTTAGAACTATTTAACTTGCGAGCATTTTGAATATTCGAATTATGACAGTACTGCAACGGCGAATATTGCAATGCGTTCTGTTTATGTGTTTAGGGCTGTCTTACTTCAATGGGCAGGTTTTCCTGATACTCATGTTTCTTCCACCTTTTGCGTTGCTTGGATGGATGTTCCTTCCTATTGTTGTAGTTAGCTTTGGTGGTAAGGACACATCGTTTGACCATGTCTTTCTAGCTCTCTGGAAGACCAAAGATTTTTCAACAAGCACGGATTGAGTTAGCACAAGTGTCTGTCAGTGACGAGGTGGAATTATTCTACGAAAATATTATAACGAAGATCAAATTATGTTTGTAGTCGCGGCATACAGCCTTGCCTGGTTAATATATTTAACATGGGGTGAGTTTATATCTAATAGTTTACTGCTTGATATAAGTTGAAGATAAACGCTCACTTCTTGTCAATTGTTTTACCACCACAAAAAGCCCAAGTCGACAGCCTAGCTGATTTGCCCTACGATCCCAAACGTGTCTTCAAAATAGACTACCTTTTACTTCGGGTTGTGTTGGGTTGTCTTACGTACTTGCCTTTAGTTGCAGAGTACAGCTATTACAGGGGTTTCGTACTAGGCAGGAGATACCGACGAATCGTCATGTTCGTATCTGGCTGATGTTTTGACCTTTTCTAATTTTGTCTTATGCTAACTTAAATTACTTTGAAAGAGAAAATATTTATTATGGTAGTCAACACGAATCCAACCGCCTTGATGTATACAAGCCAGATGAAGCCATGCAACACAGTACTGCTGGTGAAAGAAAACATTTTCCGGTGGTTGTTTTCGTGCACGGTGGTGCTTGGAGCTCAGGTGGCTTTGCTTTTATTGTTTGCATCGCATACGTGCATCGAGCTTGTCTTCTTACCTGTTACATTATTTAAAAGGAAACAAATTACTCTATAGCCTTTTGGCACTTCGACTTCGGTCTATGGGTTACGTTGTCGTTGTACCTAATTACACATTATATCCTCAGGTTGGTATATTCTTACACTGAATTGCCCTTTTAGTACATTACTAACAGTATAATCTGTTCGTTCAGGGCAAAGTTGAAGACATGATTTCAGATTTAAAGCGGGTTCTGGTCTGGACAAATGAATACATACAGTAAGTAATTTGCGACAGAAAAGCTAGCCAAGTACAATTACTGATGAACTCCATCAGGGAGTACGATAAGTGCAATCCGTTAATTGCCAAAAGTGAACATGAACGTGTGAAAAGCATAGCATTGAATTATGGTTTAATGGTTTGACGTGTATATGCGGACATTTGAAGTAGTAGTCACTTTTAATTAACAGCACGTTTAGGAGAAGAAAAATTGTCATAACTCAAGCTTTAGAAACAGAAACTTAGGGCTGTCAGTGTAAAGGGATAAGGAAGATGCGGCATTTTTCAATTAGCTTGTGGAATACTTGGGATATTGTTTCAGTTGCCAAATATTTCAATGCAATGGATATTTGTTAAGAAGCATAACTAAACATATTATAACTTTACAGAAACTATCATGGCGATCCTAAAGATATCTACATGATGGTAAGTTGCTTTGACATTCACTATTGTAATTAATATTAATGGGTATATATATTCAGAATTATTGGCTACTTTTAGGGACATTCAAGTGGTGCTCATCTGGTTGCATTGGTTACTGTTTTGGATGCTTTATGCCCATTGGTCAGTAATAAATGGAAGAAACCCCTTAAGCCAAAACCTATAGATTCTGCCTTGAATATGCCAAAAGTTGCTGGATTGATCTTGTAAGTTAATATCACAATAATGTTTGTTCAGTATTCATTAATGAACCGTTTATATTTGTACTAAAATATTTGTAACTGATTAGGATGTCTGGTACATAAATATCTTATTATTGTGGTCTTTAGCTTAACATTTTTATATCATTGACATCCCTAATCCATTGAATGTTTATTGAACAGGTATATTTGATATAAAGCGACATTACTATTGGGAGAGCAAGCGCGGTGTTGAAAAGATTTCTGCAATGGGTCGTGCTATGGGTAAAGATGTAATTAATATTAGCATTTACTCATTGTATTCCACCAAGAATTTACAAAAGCCTTTGCTTGTGTTTCTCAGGTAACACACATGAGACATTTGAAATCAACTCTCCAACTACACTTCTTAAGACAGCTTTGTCTGGGAATTGTGTCAATACTGAAAATTTAAAAAAGGCATTACCAAAAAAGATTTTACTGATTCATGGTGACAAGGTAGATATTCTTCATTAATTAATATTAACATGTATTGAAGATTGGTACTCACAGACATTAAATATTTATTGTTTTAAAGGATTATACTGTGCCTGTTGAATCAACCTTGCAGTTTCAACAAGTTCTCTTGAATCTCAAAATTGAGGACATTAGACTATGTCAGTACCCAGGAATGAATCATGAAGATCCGGTTACAGGTGAGTCGCGTCAATTTTGTCTGCATGTTAAACTCATTAATAACATGTGTCTGTAAAAGTTTCTGTCCAAATTTGGTTTGACAAGGCTGTTTTTTACGTTCAAATTTAGGATTGATGATCAGTCCCATAACTAACAAGTATACAACTCAATTGACACAAGACATTGCCAGTTTTATTTCCTCTGTGTGATACCGATAATCGGACTAAGTGTGACCTTTGCCAATTTAGTTTTGTCGAGAATGCGATAAAGAGTATTAAAACGTTAAAATAAAAATTTAACTAGCAATATTATTATAACTAACCAAAGAAATAAGACAAGATTATGAAAAGATATTAGCCGAGTTCAATTTTGAATGTTAACCCCACCGAAAACCTTGCAGCTCTTACAGCATATCGTCTCTATCGTGAATGAAACTTTTAATAATGGATTAGAAATAATAATAAGTTTCCTAAAGAATCGACACTTAGGTTCCAACGTTCCTAAAAAATTTTAATGTTATCACGTCCTTGAAATTAATTCACCCCTTCTAGTAGAGGAATGTCTTCGAAAAAATTATAGTATACAGTTTGTAATGTTTTCGGTCTTTTCTATCAGGTTTCCAAAATATCGGGTTTCCACGCGTAAATTTCGAAAAACCGAGAATCGGTTTTGAGGAGTTGTTACATTTGGTGGAAGCAATTAAGCAACTCAATGACTTCCCCATCCAGAGGATTAAGGAATTCGCTAACCCAAATCATTAATAAACAAAAATACTAGGACTTACTGGGATTCATAAAACAATGTAACATAAATTTTACAATGAGGACTTCATTATTATGAATTTATGCGCCGGCTGTCATTGGATGCCCCAGCCTTCACGTCATGCTTACATATTTTCTACTTTGGTGAGTCATGGTTTTTCAAACCGCTGTCTGTACACAATGATATTGTGCTTGCTGAAAATTAATGCTTTTCGTAAGTGCATTCTTTGGTTTCGCAGGTTCAGCAATTAATAGAGATGGTGTCCACTTAGAAGTCTTGCTAAACCACTAATGGAAGGGGACTTTCGTCGGCTTACCGAATACGAACTTTCCGTACAAGCATGAGTATGTACCGTGAACTTCAAATATATTAAACAGCACAGCTCAGGGATTTTTGGCGAGACGACTGCTGGCGATGATATATGCATTAAGTATACTTGGAGTTTCTCAGCAGCAGCACACCATTACCTTGCTTCATTGGGTGTGGCACCGCGTTCGAACATTTTCCACACAAATGGTACATGGTAGTAATGGACGTGATGGTTTACCATATTCACATCTGACCAAAGACAACATCAGCTTTCCATCTGTTGAGATCCGCCGTCGAGTTGGGGAAGCTGTCATGAACAGAACTTTGTCCATGGCGATTTGCATGATACAAACCTCTTTGTGAAAAAGAACGGTTCATGCTAATCGACTTTGATTGGTCAGGAACGGCTGGTGAAGTCTGCTATCCCATCAATGTCAACTGCCATTAGACGACCAAGTGGGGTAAATGATGGACAAATCATTATGAAGGATCATGATCTTGATATGCTTGAGATTATGTTTGGCAGAAGCGAACAGCCTGAACGTCCCCATAAGGTGGACTAAAGACTAATTCTCACGAAATTGGAGATTTTTGAACACAAATAATTATTGAGGGTGATGTGTGCTTTACAAAATCATTACTATCCATCTACCTATACCATCACAAGACAAAAAAATCATTAAGACATGATAACTGCAACACCCATGCGGATACCCCATAACAATTCCTAAATCATACAGCTCAATAGCACTTTAATAATTGCACTTGCATTTAAACGTTGCAAGACATTGTTCTTGCAGCATCATAGAAGGGGAGTAGATTTTGTTGCTTTACACAGATTAAGGGAAATCGTGCTGGAGACTACATAAAAAATAAACTTCTTACCATATAATCGATAAAATATATATATAGGAATACCCATATATAATCATAGTGGTTTAGCTGAATATGAAAAGACAATGCGTTTCTTGGATATAGGTTGTGATTGTGATTGCTCGAAAATGATTCCGAGAGAGGACTTTGCTGAATTACGTGAGGCATTTCAAGCTCTCTAAATCTGAACAAGATATATTTTTAATGACCAGCTGAAAGCAATGAATGGTGGAGAAATAACTGCCAGCCGACGTCTTAAAAAGAAAACGCGTACTAATAAGAGAACTTTTTATTATTGAGATCGCAATACGCCCCTTTGTCAGAAAACGTATCTCAATATGTTGGGAATCGGTCGCGCCCACTTCGAAAACGTCAGAAATCACCTAGCGGCGAATGGTACAGTATCGCGTGTTCATGGCAATGTAAAAAGTGCCGCGGTGAAAAACTAAAATTACCATTGATACTGTATAACCGTTGCTACCCCCTGAAAATTTTTCTCGAAAACTATGCTGAAATCCATAGACTACCAAGTCCTGGTAGAAACGTCAATCGCATTACTCAATCGCTTACACTTTACCAGCCGAAACTAGTTACAAATCAGTCTATCGTGATTTTATTGCAGGTCTTGAAAATGATAGCATGTTGAAATTGTTAAAATATGACGCGTTCCGCAAGTTATGGCACTAATTAATGCCTTATATTCAAATTATGAGTCCAAGAACGGATCTGCCAACATTTTCGGAACGGTTTACAGTATAATGCTCGTAATAGTAAGGAAGAAGAAGCAAAAAATTTATTGAAGAATATAAAGAACATTTAGTTAAGGCTAAATTAGAAAGAAATTATTATACCAAAAATACGAAATTAGCCGAACAACAGAGAAAATTGGTAGATGAGCATTTTGTAAAGCTGATTATTGTAGCATTGACGCTTACTGCTCATTACAGTTACGATTGAGCACAAAATTTTCATGTTCCCATTCCGATCAACATGTAAGTAAGATTTATTATCTCAGTCCCCGTAAAGTGCATTTATTTGGTATTCAAGATGAAACAGTACGCGAACAAATTAATTATGTTCTTGATGAAGACGAAATTATAGGAAAAGATCCTACTGGTACACTGAGCATAGTATTCGATGGAATTAAGAGATTGAATAAAGACGAAAAACGGTTAAAGATTACTTGCGATAATGCGAGAGGACAGAATAAAAACAATGTTACTATTTGATTTTACCTGTATTTGGTCATCTGTGATTATTTTGAAAGCGTTGAATTAAGTTTTATGATACCTGGTCACACTAAGTTTAAGTGTGATGGTAGCTTGTTGAGGTTGTGAAAGATCGAGTACAGGATTAAACAAAACCCAGTGTTATGAAAATGGAAAAGGCTTTCAATACTTAGATCTTAATTCTGTGTTGGGAATTTTCTTTAAAAAATTGAGTGGTTTACAAAAATATCAGCATTTTCTCTTTGAAGCAGCTCGACCTGGAATTGTCAAAGCCCAGCTAGTTGCTAATGGTGCTTATACAGAATTCAATTTATTAAAAACCAGAAAAGCAATTGTTGCTGAAATTATCAAAGAAATTTTTTCCCTTCCATCCTAGTACTAACCCCTCCTCCATTAGATTACAAAAAGCAAGAATATCTTTATCATAACATTCGCCCGCTTATTAGAGATGAATTCAAAGATATTACTTGTCCAAGACCAATCTATACTGGCAATAAATAAAATATTTAACCTAAATAAAATCCTCTACATTATTTCAACACCCATGAATTTTAACGAATATTGCTAACTTTTTACCGCTTTTAATTTGTAAACGTAAATAAAAGAAATAATAATTAACTACACTCCCGTCTCAAAAGTCACCGACCACCCCCTACGTTTGTGATTGAATGAGAATACTGGCATAACGAGCAATGC